TCAACCTTCGAGATCGACGACGACCTGCGGAACAGCTTCATCCGCGGCTACCAAGCCGACCCCGATTTTCGCGACAAGTACGCGAATTGCTCCTCGCCTAATCCGGCTCCTTCTCACTACCGGATCCAAGAGGGGTACTTGCTTGTCCACACGCGGGGGAAGGACCTTCTTTGCGTACCGAGTGATCCTCACTTGCGTACACGGCTTCTTGGTGAGTTTCACGACGCTCCCGCCACTGGACATTTTGGAGTCAATCGCATGATTGGCCGACTTCGCCAATGATTTTGGTGGCCCGGCCTTCTCGGCGATGTCACGTGCTATTGCGAGTCATGCGAGGTTTGCCGACGCTGCAAATCCCGCAACCATCATCCGTACGGCGAGTTACGACCATTGCCAGTTCCGTTGAGGCGAAGGGAAGCGATTGCCATGGACATCACCAGCCCGTTCCCCAAGCACAAGACCGGAGTGGATGGGATTCTCACGGTGGTCGACCGACTCACCAAGTTCGCCATGTTTTTGCCTTGTCGCTATCATGCCAAGGCACCGGAGTTGGCCGAGGTTCTTTACGCCGGCTGGATTCGCACCAAGGGTTACCCCAAGGAGATCGTCTGCGACCGCGACACTTGGTTCATGTCCAATTTTTGGTTGGCGCTCATCAAGCGATGGGGCTCATCTCTCAAGCCCAGTTCAGCTCGCCACCCTCAGACCGATGGGGAGACGGAGAGGGCGCATCAGACCGCACAGGTTCTCCTTCGCACTCTCATCCGCCCCGACCAGAAAGACTGGGTTGAGCGACTGTCGGACGTTGAGTTGGCCTACAACTCTTCCATCCACCCGGCTATTGGGATATCGCCCTTTTCTTTTCTTGCGTCGGATGCAAGAGCTTCTTGTCAAGGCACGCGACCAAATGGCTAAGACGCAGCAGCGCATGAGCCAACAAGCAAATCGCCAGCGTCTTTCTTGTCCATTCCACGCCGGGGACCTCGTCTGGGTTTCAGCAGCGGAATTCAACCTTAAACAAGACGTCTTTCGCAAGCTCCTCCCGAAATGGATGGGGCCTTGGCCGATCATAGAGCCCGCTGGGGACGCACCCGAAGGACCCTCCTTCACGATTCAGGTGCCTAGCCACTCGCCTGTCTACCCAGTCTTTCATTGTTCCAAATTGGCTCTGTACACGCCTGCGGAACATAACGATTTTTCCGGGAGACGTACGCAAGATCCACCTTCTATGGATGGTTTTCAGGAGGTCGGTGACATCATCTCTCAGCGACGCTACCGGAACAAGCCAACTGAGTATCTGGTGCATTTTGCTTACTGCACTCATCGACCTGATCGTTGGTTGACCCGTGCGGAACTGCAAGCGACAACTCCAGACGTTCTCGCACGCTACGAACGCAAGATGCAAGGCAAGCCGGTTTCTTCGGCTCCACGCCGCGCCCGCGTCCAGGTTCCACCTTCAGATCGACGGCTTCGCCCTCGCCCCAGCTTGACTTCATAAGGAGGGGGGGGGGGTTATATGCAGTGCGTGCACACAGGGGCCATTTCTCAGGCCCGACGGCCATTTTGCAGGCCCGATTGGATTCAGGCCAAAACCCTGGATTTCAGGCCGAAAGCCTGAAATTCAGGGCTTATAGGCCCCATTTCTGTTCAGACCGAAAGCCTGACTTTCAGGGCCTACAGCCCCTGCGACGGTTCAGACTAAAAAGGGTAATAACATTTTTAGCCTGAACCCAGGGGCCATTTTCGGTCGTTCATCAGAACGACCGGCCCTGAAACTCAGGCACCGAACCAGGGTTTTGGGAACAGCCTATGTTTAGACTGTTCCCACGCCTGCCTCAAGCAGGCTGCTGCACGCCAGCCCCTGGCACACTTCGGCATTGGCAAGAGCTGCCTCCTCGGCCTTCTCGCGCTCCTGCAGTCAGGAGGCAGGCCGAGGAAGTACTTAGGAACTTCCCAGGCACTTCACGGGTAGGCAGTTCGGCAGTTTTAGTCTTCAGGATTCGGGAGCAGCACTCTGGAGGGAGCGCTGCGTTGTAGTAGAGTAGCGTTAGCTAGTAGTCTTCAGCGCTGGGCGCAGTAGGTAGCTGTAGTCTTCGGCGCTGGGCGCCATAGCTAGGTAGTGGTAGAGATGATGGGCGGAGGCCAGGGATCACTTACCTGCAGCGCCGTTGCTCCAGCTCCGTCTTCGAGGTACCTGCAGCACAGCGCCAACATCACAGGTTAGTACCTGGTTCGTAACAGTGAGAGAGAGAGAGTTCTCTTCTTCCTCTTCTCARTCCCCCATCTTCTTCTTACCCTCTCAACTTCTGACTTCCCTGCAGTTGYAGACTACGAGAGAAGAGATACCGGGCTTGGTGACATATGATCCAGACTCGACTTTTTTTGGGGATTCAGACATGGCAACGAGGGACTATTTGGGATTGGTGACCAAGACTTGGTGTTAACGACATTCCCATCTTTCTCGCTCCTTTCGTCTGATCCTTATCTCTTCGTCTGTGTATGTCTGGACCTGGTGCTTGCTTCCTGTGTTACAGCGCAAGGCTCCTTCACACTCGGTGATGGAGACAATGCATGTTTAGTCTGAGTTCAACATTGATTGGGTTAGTTAGTAGCACTCTGGCATTCTGCTTCRTTACTCCGAACTACGTGARTGAKGTMAGTCCTGTCAGGTCAGTCTTTGTATCAAGTCTTCCCTGCGCTCTTCAGCATCTTTATGTATGAATGAGAATGTACATTGCTGGTCGAGATTCTCGTAACCGCATTGTCTATTCAGTCCTTTTGATCACATTGCAGATTCTCGGTTTATTGCATACATTGCATATTTGTGCATGTAACAGTTGGTATCGGAGCTTTTGCACGTGAATCAGGACGATCTGATCTGACACGTGTGCGGGGATCAAAAAGCTAGTTAGTCTTTTCTGTTGATTAGGACATACTAGTTAGACCCCAAAATCACGATCTTGACCTTACTACAAAAAAAAAATCAAAATTTTTTCTTTTCTCGGATTTTATTTTCTCGCTATTCTGCTGTGGAAAATCACTATATCGCAACATCTGAAATTCCTATTTTCGTTTTCCTTTCTGAAAATTCGAAATTTCGTTGTTAAAAATCCCGAATATATTTCTTTTTGAAAGTTTTGATTTTCTGTTGCATTCCCGTTATTTAGAACTTCGGAATATATTCTTTTCTGAAATTCGTTTTTTCGAAACCGGTATGGGAAATACCTCCTGCACGAATTATTTTTTTTAATTGCGAATATTCCCATCGGAATAAATCCGAATACTTGTCCTTTCTATTCTTATAACTTTTTTTTCGCAGTTCTTGGATTCTGTCAGTTGGTTCTATAAATCGGTTGCAGTTTAAAGTCGAAATTTTTTTCGTACTTCAAGGGAGATTGGGAGACCTACCGAACTTGCAAAAAAAGTCGGGATTTCTTATTTTCTTGAAAAAAAAAAAAAAATTGCAAAGCTCAGACTTTTCTATTTTGATTAGTGACTCCTTATCTAAGTGTGAGTTGGGCGATTATCCCACCCACCCCTCCCCACCTATGTTGTTGCAATCTCTCGCCTTGTCGTTTCTGGTTGTCTCCGGGTACCCCTTGTGACGGCATTGGTAAGTTGCCACGTCAGCAGACCACGTCAGCAGGACACGTCAGCAGGCTACGTAAGTACGTCAGCAGACCATGTCAGCAGGCTACGTCAGCAGGACACGTCAGCAGGACACGTCAGCATTGCCACGTCAGCAGCAAGGGATACCACATCAGCAGGCACCGGTCTGGTCTATGCTGTTGCGTTCACAGACAGCA